CACTTTTAATCATTGAAAACTGCTACTGACCAATTTTTATTAATAAGCTTTTTTTTTATGAAACTGACCTTTCCGAAAAGAAAAAAAAAACATTCACCGCGATCATCTCAGTAAAGCGTAAAATAAATTTTAAACAAATTATCTTAAAAATCCCAAATTATAATTGCGTTATGATGATGAATAAAAAAAATGGGGGAGCACTGGTTGGATCTAAAGATAATTAGAGGTTCCAAAAATTCATAACTGGTTTAAAAGAAGTCTCAACTAGTGGAACCCTTTAAGTCCTTCACAGAACCCTAGGGTTCCGGTGTGCGATTATATAAATGCTTATACGATTCGAAACGTTTTTAAGTGACGAGAATTTTTTACAGCAGATAATTACAAAAAAAAAATTTTACTATTAGAAATAATATTTTTGAATTACGTGAATAATTTTTCTAGAGCAGCTAATTACAAAAGAAAAAAAAATGCTTACCTAGATTACACAAACTACAGAAATATTAATACGATTGAAAACTTCATAATTACGAGAGGAACTATTTTTTACAGCATATAGCTACAAAAATAAATAAATTATTACTAAGGCCCGGATTTTGATGACATTTGCATTTTTATGAATTTTTGGACATTTTTTGTCTTTTAGAGCATTTTTCTTTAAATTTTGGGGAAAAAACCAATTTTTACTATTTATTATCAATTTTCATTATTACACTGGCTTCCAAACAATGAAGAAAATCTATAGAATATTAAAAGGTGAAGCAAAATCTNTTTTTTTAAAGTTTTTTGTTAATTTTTTCTATTTATTATCAATTTTCATTATTACACAGGCTTCCAAACAATGAAGAAAATCTATAGAATATTAAAAGGTGAAGCAAAATCTTTTCAAATTGAAGAAGAATTGTAAGTAAATGAAACCGTCTTTTTCAAGTACGCACCTATAACATCAGTAGACGTTGAAAGAAGCTTCTGCAGGAATGAAAATTTACTTTCAGACAAGAGACGCTCGTTTACATTTCAAATTATCAAAAAACATTTAATAATCCAATGTAATTCTGATATTTAGTAATATTATGAGATGGAAGTTGTTATATCCATTAAAGTTTCTATACAAAATAAAAATATTTTGGTGTCAATATATTTTCCTTTTTTTGTTATTTTAGGATATAAAACATATTTTTCAAACTTTAATGAGCGTAGAACAAGTATTGCATTGCTTTATATTTTTTAAATGACTCATAATAATTTTAAAGAGCAAAACATTTTTTTAATTCAATATTTTTACTTTATTTAAGGCATTTTTTGCGCAATTTTTGCATTTTTAAGGGCATTTTTTGCCCTTTTTAAGGGCATTTTTTGCACTTTTTAAGGGCATTAGTTGAGATTTTTTAGGTCATCAAAATCCGGGCTCTAATTATTACCTAAATATTAATAAAATACCAGATATAATTGGTTATTAGTTTCAATGCTCAATGGACAGCATCACGCTCATAGGGAATTGTTGTGTAATTATTGGTGCCACATTGCGTATTACACGAGAATCCAGAGTTGATTGTAGATTTTCCCTGTGTCCAGAGCTTGGTCACTCTAATAATCGTGAATAACCGAAATGCGTGGTTGTTGACTTCCACCATAGCCACTTTGGTTCATGTCCGAAATATATATAAAGTCAAGCTAAGTGCCACTGCCTGGTATACATTTTCTCGGTATGCCCTACATCAAAGCTTTTCTAAAACTGCAAACACTGATGTTTATCCTCAGCAGATAATTAGAATATCGAATCAATATAATGATATCAACGCATAAATTAATATCAAATCGGATATAACAAATAGTGCTGCGGACATTCACCAAAGCGATTATGTGATTGTTGACATTCACCGGTGAGAGTCGACATTCTTTTGATTTCGGCCATTCACGGTAACATATATATTTAGAAATCCTAGGGAACCGATTATCCGGAACGGTCGCTATTCCGGATTACTGATTTTTCCGGTTTTCTGAATCGCTACAAAAAGCCGTTTTTTTATTGTTAAACCCAACTAAAAAGAAAAAAAAAAATTGGAAATAATCTTAAAAATAAGAAAAAACGATGAAGTAATACACTAATGATTATTTCCAAAATGATGGTAAGGTAAACATCTTTAAAAAAAGAAAGAAAAATCGTAAAATCTTACGAGGAAAAATTTTTTTTCTTTAAATGGCGAGAAAATGTATCGAATTTCGTTCCGGTTTTTTGGTTTTCTGATTTCCGGATAACGGGTTCTGCACTTATATTTGGGATACATTCGCTATATTTAGTTTCTTATAAAGGCAGTTGTTCCCCCATATTCTGTGAACGAAGAACTAAGGATATCAAAAATTGTGTTGCATAAAAAAAACAAAAACAAATACATTAAATGGCTAGAAAATTTGAGACAAGAAAAATTAAAAGTTGAAAGCATAAGTTTTTAATGATTTGCATTTCATATGAAATTATCACACTCTCATTATGACAAGGCTTCAAACTGATCAGTGGAATTACAAATATAAATAGTAGCAAGGTTATCCAGGATGAAAGTAAAAGACATAACATCACAGTCAGAGACAGTTTTAAAAACAAACTCAATCATAAACACCAGAAATTTGGTGTTCATTATTTTTTTTTGCAACATTTTCTCAATAGACCCAAAAGCATATCATAAAATATTTGATGACTGCCAATAGAAAATAGCTTTTAAAACAGAAAATTTTAGTGATACTGCATAAATTTTTTATTTATTATGAGATTTGCAACTATCTTATGCAAGAGAATAAACATATATAATCTTGTTAAGAAAAATCGAGAATATTAAATGGCAAACCTATATTGAACATTAGGCATTTTTCTCAAGAAAAACATCAAGCAGCAGCATAATTGTATGACATATATAAGGTGTTCAGGTTTCTTTCTCAATACTTTAAAAAATTTTGGAATTTTTATTATAGAGAATATTTTCATTCTCCTTCACTAATAAAGTGAAACCTCCATGAAGGACCACCTTTCTATTGACGACCACTTTTGGGAGACACTGAAATTTTTCCATAAATTTTGTATTGAAGCAAACCTTTAAGAGAGACCATCAAATAAGTAGATTAAAATGCATTCAAAATACTTGTTTCATTTGATGATCTCTGAAAGAAATCTACATTCTTATGTTGCAGTCTGAAAAATTAGTAGCTGAAGAGTATACCATCAATGATTTATTTTTAGAGTTGAAAGTTAAATTTCGAAAAAAGTTATTTTAGAAAAAACTAAGCATCTCAAACAAATGAACTTCCTCTCAGTTTATTCAAGGTAAATAACTTAATGATATAAAATGAAATACAAACTTAACTTTATTTATTTAAAATAGTTCTATCATTCATAATGGGTAATTCGTTTTTATTAAAATAGATCATTTTTGTTGACTCTAAATTTAATAAATCGATCCAGTTTCTATGACCCATACGAGTGGCAATTCCATACCAAAAACATGACACTGACTAAAATTAAAATCAACAACCGTTTTACTATGGAACGAAGAGTGGTCGCTACCGAGAGGTTTCACTGTAGTATGTCAGTTGTCAAATGAACTATGTTGAATTGTTAACAGCAACACAGCGCCATATAAAATACTTATCAAATACAATTAACGAAATGCAATTAATAATACAATTGAACAAAAATATGCATATCTTTTATAAATAACAAAAATTTCTTGACAGTTAAAAAAAAAAAATTTTTTTTTGAAGGAAACAAAACTATATTCTGTAATTTGATTATTACTAAAAATATTTTATTAAGTTATAAAAATTTAAATATTTTACTTTTTAAAACATCTACACAAAAATGTCATAAGCCGCACAATTTTGTGTTATTTTCACGTGAACAAAGGTTTTAAGGGCTCAAGAACAAAACTTATAACGAGCCCCTTTAGCAAAGCAGAAAAATCCTATTTTTATTTTGCAGAATATTTGAAAATTCTTTAAACAAAATTGTAGTTCTTATATAGATATAAAAAAATTCTCTGCACATTTTCTTCTTAAAAAACACTATGTCTTTGAAAAAATTTGGTATGACCCCCAGTAATCCCACCCCCAGACAATAATTCCTCTTGCCACCCCTTCTTGATTACCGCCTCACATGTGAATTAATTTTATTTTTCAATTTATAACTCCATACCTAGAATTTATTTATTACAAAACTATCAATAATAATTTTATTTATAACTAGATAATATATACTAATATAGTTCTTACTAATCAAATATTTCTTAGGCACAAACAAGGAATATTGTGTAGATACATTGCATTGTTGAACAAAAATATTTTCTTTCCGGACATAAATTCAGTAAGAATCTAAATTTTGAGTAATCTTACAAGAAAATAGCAAACAACTTAACAAAAGGATTGCCGGCCACAGGATGTTAAAAGTGCTTTCGGAGCATAATTTTTAACAAGAAAACGCATTTCACATTAATCGATCCTTTATGAATGAACCAACGGGACTTTTAAGTTCTACTAATGTTATTTCCATACAGCATTGAAACAAAACAAAACATCCCAGCCAAAAACTCGTCAGTCCCAGTAATGACTTTCCGATTATAATTACCAATTTGTTACACACAATTATTTGATGTTGAATACCATCTAGTTAATACTTCGTTTAAAGATGTCATTTTAAGATTCCTCATTTCTCAGCTTTCCTATCTTGATCAATTTTGCAAGTCTTTCATATTTTTTTGTTGATTCATTAACATTTTCAACTAGTATAAAACAAAGTATTAAATGTTAAACTTTAAATATAAAATTTTATACTGTAAAGTAAGTCTAATTTAAAAAATTTCTGAAAAATATTTGTCAAAGTTTAAAAAAGATATTTAATGCAACAAAAGAAAAAGTTCGACACATTTTTGATAATTTTTAAATAATTCGGTAAATAAGAGGTGAAAAATAAAAAACATTTGAAAAAAAAAAATCATTTATAGCCAATATTTATTTTAACACTAGATTTAAAAAATAAAAAAAAAACTTTTTTTTGAAGCTTTATAAACTATATCTAACCTGTAAAAAATATATTTCATCCTTAAGTAATGCTTGATAAAAATAACTTATAAGGTGCCTATTCTAAATACAAGAAAATAATTCTATTATAAATAAATCAAAATAATTATCTCATTTCATCTGAAATAGAAATAAAAAAAACTCTTCAAATATAATATATACTATCTATGAAATAGTTCAAATAATATAATTATGATATGGCACTCCAAAAATTAGTAAGTAAATAAGTCCCTCTTTGAAATTAAATAAAAGTTTGAATGATTAATACCCATAATTAAGGCCATGACTGCAATGATTTTTTGTAAAAATGTACACATTTCCTTCTTTTCTTCTACGAAAGATGTAAAATTAAAAAATGCAAGATATTTTTAAATTATCTTCATTCACTTTTGCAAACATCACAATCATAGCTTTAATTTATGTTAAATAAATAAAATTATCATACTCTTACTAAAATACATAAAATCTTTTGACACATTTTAACATGCATACATTAATTTTAAAACCTCCTTAAAACAATAGCTCTTGCTTATGACTTATTGTAACATACAAAACATGTTTTCTATTCTAAAACAAATTGTCTTTGCAACAGATAACCACCACATACTTTAAAAAAGTAAGAGCAAAGTTAAAATACTAAATCTAGTTTCAATTTTTAATATTCAGAATGAAATGTATTTGCAGATTAATTGTATTAAGAATTTTTTTTTAAAAAAAAGTAAAAATTTCTACAGTCACAAAAAGAAGTAAATTTAGAATTAGTGTCACTTAACTGACTCAGCTTTTGAAATGTCAACAAATATACTTTCATTCAATGTTTTCTTTCCTGCCAAAAAACCAGTTTTTTCATAGCTAAAAACTCAGAATAAGCCCAGACTAAAGCTTTGAGTGTTAAGCAATACAAATTACATGCAGCAGATTTTTACTTCAAATAATCAAATCACACTTAAAGACAAAATTTAATTTCCTTCATTCCTTAAATCTAGGGGCCCTATGCATATAAAGCAATGAATAACATGAAACATACTATAATATAAATGAGAAAAAAGACATAAGATAACCCACAGGTTCTATACTTTTAAACAAAATTCATTAATTTAAAATAATTAAGATTTTTTTTTTGGCTAAAAAGGCAGCAGATGGTAGTTTAAGTAAAACAATTAAGCAAAGTCAATTTATTTAATTAATTTTAATAGATAAGTTTTATAAGAGTGTTCTTTATTAAGTGTACCAAAACAATTTGAACTGAAGTCTGTGCAGCAAAAAATGTGCCTAGATAAAGTTATTAATTCTTAGTAAAATAAAGCTTGCATAAGAAAAACAACAAGAAAATCAAAGCACCAAATAGGAACTGAACAAGTAAAAAAGCTATTTTGATTTATCAGTGAATTTTTAATTGAACACACAGACACACATATATATATATATACAAAATAATCTTAATTAAAATTTTATTTATACTTATGACTATTAATTATTTATTCATTTTAGATTTTAGCTACATTAAGAAATATCTATTAATATGCAATTTATAAAAAAATATCAGTTTCATTATACTATATGCTGATAAAATAATTAGGAACAGTTAAATTAACCCCATAATAATAAGATTATTAGAATATAAACATCGGTGAATAATCCATTACTTCAAATGATAGGAATTAATAAAAAAATATATTATCATAAAAAATGCTTAGAATAATTTACCTTGCATACAAAAATTAATCTTTTCTTAAAACTTTAATAATAATTAAGTCAAATTTTTGTTTACATTTCAGTTCATGATTTTTAGAGAAAAATTCTTTACATTAAATTTTTTTTAAACATTTTAATGTATGCCTCACTCAAAATTGAGTTAAAAAAAAATTAACAAGGAAAAAAAATTACTTTTTTAATCTACAAAAGAGCTAGAAATCAACATGATGTAAATTTGATTAAATATCTTAACCTTTCATATTTCAAAGTGGGTTGTCTCCATTTATGATACCATATGAGCATACTATACCTAGCTCTCCATTTTAAACTTCTGTATTCATATAAATAATTACTTTTCACACCCTGGGTAGCACAATTTCTTAGCCAGAATTCTCGATATAATTCATTAAAAGACATAATTTTTCAACAAAAAAAAAAACAAAGCATGCATTGTAGATATAAGTAAATATATAATTAACTAAAATATACCATATATTTGGAATAGAAAAGTAAAACAAAACATTTTGTTCAAATCAAAAAATAGCAATAAAACCACTGAAACTTTTCTTTTGTTAAAATAAAATAGCTTCAATTTATTTCCTTGTCTTTTTCTGTGTGTTGTTCAACTCATTTAAGGAACTTCGAACAAAAACTATAAAAATTCAGAACTAGGAACAATAAGAAACAAATTATGCAATTCAATTTTAAAATTCTTACTCTTTAACAACCCTTGCGAAATGATCAAGTAAACATTACCATGAACTGATAATTATAACCAAATAACAGAAATGATTTATGGAGAAAGAGTATATGCAAACATTTACATATTTGATCATAATTATAAACAAAAAGGAGAAGTTTGCAATTTTATTTATTTCTAGATCTAGACCTATTATAAAGAATTCACCACTAAAATTGTTATCACTATTATTTCTTCAGCGCTAAAAATATTGCTGTATTAACTTCTCAATGATGCTCAGTATCTGATAACATCACAAAAAAATATTTATTATAACCATTAAATATTAAGATAGGCTGTTGTCAATGACTGGTTGAAAATATTGAGTATAACAGAGCATCACTAAAAAAATGACAACAAAGCAAAATTATGAAACATTTTAAACTACTATTGGGTAAGTCCACCATTAAGGAAGGTCATCCTTGCAGATTTTAAAAAATTATAACTCATAAAAAAAAATTTGAGGATTTCTAATGATTTTTGTGAAAATAAGTTTTGGTGTCTTACATTAATTTTTATTAACACTATATCACTTTTTAAAAAATTTTGGAAAAAAAATAGGTGTTGCAAATCGAAGACTATGTTGTGTAGCATTTATGCCAGTAACATTCAGGTTTTAATTTGAAAAGTCAGCTCTAAAAATTAGAGTAGCTATTATAAACTTGTTCAAAAGACTTTTTTCTGAAAAATTTTTAGAGCTGATAATTTTTTCTTCTTTTTTTAAGAAAGAGAACCTGTTCTGTTAAGAGGAAAAAAATTTCTTCACCATTTTTCTGCAAATATGACATCTGTAAATGGTGGAACAACCCTATTGCTTTTAGTACGAAAACACATCATTTTTTTTTTCCTCCATAAGTTTAGTAATCTTCCTAAAACAATACTGAACACTTTCAATAATTTTTTTTTATGTACACATAATATATATCCTCTATAATTTGTACTTAAAAAAATCTATACATATATACTCTCAAAATTAAAAAACTTGAGCCACTATTAAAATTCATTAATGGATCCTAATAAATTCTTCTAAACCTACAGGAACTTCGCCTAAAAAGTGAATTTGTTTTTCCATCACCTTACGTGCTGCTAAACACTTTAAAGAGATATAATTCAAATGATTTACACCACACTCTGGTATACTCTGTAGCAACTGATGTGGATGGTGACCGCTGCTATTCCTACGATCTATGTGAGCTCCGTAACGCAGGAGCACTTCGACTACCTGCGGATGAAAATTCAATGGTAGGGACGCCACGTGCAAAGGCGTACTTAAATTATGATTAACGCAATCCACATCTGCACCACACTGTAGGAACATTTCAGTAATATCGGGATCAGGGAAAATTGAACTGGGATCGTCGAATATGGAGGTCGATTTCATTGCGTTGGACTTGGATACGACCATATGCAATAAAGATTCACCCGAAGAACCGCGCGGATCACTCACCAGGACTTCATTAATTATAAGACGAGCTTGATTTAACTGTTCATCTGTCTTAGGAATGACATGTAGAACATACAGAAGATGAGACATAACCCTTAACACTTTGTCAAAATTTTCTAAATGTCTTTTGTATAAAGGTTTAGCGTCTATCAGTCGCCTGGCTTCGGGAAAATAAGAGAACACCAGTCTTATGGAATCGACAACGTCTTGAAATTCCACTTTCTCTCGAAGCACGCCGCTGTAATTCTTTTCGTAAAGATCTAAGAAAAGTCTGACGAGTGCCTGAGCCGCAAAGCATACTTCACTGTGCAGTAAAGTGTCTTTTTGAATTCTTAAATCCAGGGCATACTTCCAAAGGTCGATGCATCTCAAATATTGGAGGCTGTCCGCGTAGGCAGCGCCTCGATACATCAGGCGGAAAATCATGTCTCGATGCAAAGGCCCCAAAATTCTTTCACATATAATTAAGGACTGCATTCGCATCTGATCGAGATCTAGGACCAAATTTTCTAATTCTTCCATCGTGGTAAACTCTGTCGCATATAGATACACGGTTTTACGAAAGGTTTTCGGCTTTTCGAGGCGCTCGATGGGGTTCTCGTACCGCAACATGAGCGCTGTACGCCAATAATGCAATGCCTTCCTGATATCGTGATGCTCTTCAAGGAAAGTGCTTCCCATCAGCTCGTGAGCTTCGGCGATGCGTTCTCTAGAATAAGTATAATTGTCAATTAGATAATCAAATACGTGGGTGGCACTTTTGAGGCATGCAGTCTGCAGAGCATCATCTCCATATCTGCTTTTGATCAATGGATCTGCACCATTCTCCAAGAGTAATTTTGCTGTATCAATGCGGTGCTCCTGTATTGCATAATGCAGCGCAGTTTTGAGTTGTATGTCTTGAGCATTGACATCGGCTCCTTTCCTAATGAGGAATTCACACAGCGGAACACTTTGCACAGAATTGATAAGACATGTACCTCCGTTGAAATTTGGCTTTAAAATATTTGCACCATTAGTCACTAGATACACAACAATTTCATAATGAGTCATAAAACAAGCAGATCGCACTGGGGTAGATCCTGTATCAGAAACACTATCAACATCGGCACCATGTTCCACTAGACACTTAACAACACTGAGTTTACCAGCGACGGATGCACACCATAACGGGGTTACGTAGTGTTTGGATCTATCGTCTGGCACCTCATACATTCCTCGCTGTTCCACACTTGCACCACATACTTCAATAAGATATTCCACTATTTCTACATTACCTTTTTTACTCGCAATAAACAGAGGAGCACAGCCTTCACGAGTATAAGATACTATTTCAAATCGTTCGTGGGGTAAAAATCGTTCTAATTTGCTCCGTATGGAATAAGAAAGTCGAGAGCCTGGTGCAGCAAGACGGCATTCCGTATGAAGTTCTGTGAAGGTTAATTCTTTCTGGGCGGTAAGATCAGACTTACCCTTAATCCACGAAGTAGGCATCGTGGAAAGGCCTGATACTTGATCACATTGCATGTAGCCTAGATTATAGATCACAGCACATCAATTTCAATTTACATCTGCTTCTTAGGCGAACCTGTCACACAGTGAGAGTGTAAATATTACATCAACGTAGAAAAACCTGATCGCCATTTACCAAGAGCGGAAACTTCCTCCCATTGGTTGAAACGTCACGCAGCCGACGCCTCTAAATGAAAAACTGCGCATGCCCTTCGCATGACGTAAATCCGGTTGTATTTTTAAAAGAAATATTTTTTCTATTCTTTCGTTTGGTTTTGAGTTGAAAAATTGCATCAGAGACGGCCAATTTTTATCACTATTTTAATCAGGCCCAAATTCTTTAAATTTGTTATAATTTTATCAATAAATATTTCTAGCTCGGTATAAGAAATTATCTCTTAATAAATTCATGAATCATATTTATTTTAATTAACATTTCCAGATTTATATTTATTTTAATATACACATTTCTTTCTTTAATTTGTAAAATAAGGCGTGTTTTAGATGAATTAATTGATTACTCATTTTCTTAACAACTCCAAGGGTTTATATTTTTTGTTTTTCTCTTTAAGATAATTTTAGTTGCAAATTAAATTAACACTTTATAGTCGAGCAGAAATAATTCAATTAATAAAAGAATTTATTTGCTGAGAAATTTTGAGGCTTTCTTTCTAATATTGAGTCAAGCATCTAGTCTTCAAATATTTTAAATACTTTCCCAAACTTTATTAATTTTAATTAAAATTTATTCTCTTTCAGTTTAGTTATACGAATTAAAATTCCCCAAATAGAATGTTTGATGACTTTGCCTTCGATTTTTAAATTTAATCCGTGTGCTAACTAAGAGAAAAGGAAAATAGAATTTGTTAAATATTCACTATTTTATTCAAGTTATATTTATTATTTTTTTATACATAATTTAGTCTCGTAAATATTAAACATACAAAATGGAGGAGTTATAAATTTAAAAACTATTTTTTTTTTTTTTNTTTTTTTTTTTTTTTTTTTTTTTTTTTTTTTTTTTAACCTTTTGAGAAAAAAACTGTTTAATGCACTAGCCTAATCCTTTTTTTCCCATTAATAAAAGTACTTTAAAATTTTAACTGTAACATACGAAACACAAATTGTTGAATTTTTTCTCCATCAGTTTGGTTCGAAAATTCACGAATTAGTTTTATACTAATGAGACAAAATTTAATTGGTTTTAATTCTAAAATGCACAATTAAAAGTATATTCTTTCAATTGCTAACTCATCACGGAACCAGTATATTCCAGTATACGAAGTATACACTTTTAATATTAGTAGTAAAAAAAAATTCATCTATCGTTGCTAACTTATCTAGAAAAAATTATACCAATAAATAAAAAGTCATGGTTATCATAAAATGAATGCTAAAAATTAATAAATATCACAGTTTTATCAAATTTATTAAATAAAGATCACGTTGTGTATTACATATTAGTATCACAATTTAATCTATTTTTCACATATTTATCAAAACAGTCAATCATTTAAATGATTAGACGTTTTCTGGAAATTTATAATCCCTATTCATTCCGATAAATTAATCGAATTATATGCGATAGTTATTTTTTTATCTATGAAATCTTGCATGATTTTATTTTTAAAAAAAACAATTATGCAAATTTTTATAAATTTTTTTTTAATAATTGCTCTTAGAAACATATCTTTTATAAATTTATACATACACATGTGAGTATCAAATTTACTTAATGAATCCTAAACATACAACATCTGTTCTTTCTCTTCTCGAATCTTTATCTTTTCATCCTAATGTTATATTGCGAACCTTTTGAAACTCGAAATCTCAGGGGCCCCTCACTTTAGTAACATCTGCTTCAGACACTTAAGGTCAGGGGCGTATATAGCTCTTGTGACAGGTATTTTCATCTTGACCGAAACCAAATCTGCTAGATTTTTATATAGCTTAGGCGGAGGTGAATGACCTTCGAAATGATAAATTTCTGTTGGACAATTATAAGTTCAATTCTGACTCAACAAATTGTTATAAAGTTAATGGCTATGTAATTTTTTTATATAAAAGTTAAGAAGTTGTCATAATTCAAATCTACAAGTTAAAAAATAATCATAATTAACTATTCCGGTTCATCTTATTTCCGAAAACAAAATTTAAAAGTGCAAAGATAAATAAAACGATTCTATTTTTAGCAAACGATTTCAAAAGCTGTAAGTTTTCAAAATCGGTTTCTCATCGATTCTTTCTTTACTTTTTTTAAAATTACAAGTACATAAAAATCATTTTTCCTTTTTATAGTAGTAATTATAATAGTTGGAAAGGAGGGAAAATTTCTAAAGTTATTTGGACATTAATGAGCTCTTTTATTAAGTTGCAAACACTGTGGAGGAAAAAAAAATCTCAAAAATAAATTAATTAACTATAGGCTTTAGTAAATATATAAAAAATAAATAAGCGATTTTTTGTTTGAAATAAAAGTAAATTCCATCTTTGTTTAAATTTTATCTTCGTAACTTTGGATGTATATGTTTTAATACTTCCGTTTTACGATAGGGTCAATAAACTTGAGAGATAGTGTTTCCGAACTAACAAGTATATTTCTTTTACTTAAATTTAAATTAAATGTTACTCTATCAATAAATAATATTATTTATAAAATAAAAACTAGGAAGAAATAGATCAGAATCAGCTATATTGTTAGATAAAATTTTTTTAATTCTAACTTAAATTTCACTAATTGCACAAGTTAGCATTTTCCCAATTTTCTGAGAAAATGCCTTATCTTCCTCATTTATAATTCTATCTAAATATTCATTTATTGGTTAATTTTCATTTATTTATCTCTAACATCCTCTTATAATAAAATATCGTAATTTTTTAAAAAATGAGAAAGTTGAATTTGAAAATTCGGAGGTTAATGACCCGTGTTATAAGCACTTTTCCTTATTTCTGAAATTAAAATTAAAATATGCATTTCAGGAAGAAAAAAAAATTTGTGATGAGTTCCGTAAAAATAAATAATATATAAATGAATTGTTAAAAAAAATTTAGATTTTTTTTCCAACTGAAATGCATTGAATTTTGAATATTCATTTTAAAATTTTTCAGAAACAATTTTTCTACTTTGGTCCACTAAAAACCATTCAATGGAAAATCCAATCAAAGCATAAAATACATTGGATTCATTAAAAATAAAAATAAAATTAATTATGAAATTTTGGATCATTGACTTACATTTCGGTAAATTTTTTGAACTCAAATTAATTAAAATTGCCATACACAGCGTTCACTATATAATACAAAATAATTGTTAAGTCATAGCACTCTAAAAATAACTTGTCTTAGTTTTTTTCGAGCAATAATGAATAATTACTGTCATGCATTTGAAATTATTAATTAAAGTCATATTTTCACATTTTAAAAAATTTTCTCATTATTTTTCGGTATCAATTTATAAAAATATAGGTTCGATTGAAAACAAAAAAGTAAATTTTGTTTTAGTATATGAACGTTGACTTACTTTGCCCTTCGTCACTATTTAGTCTAATGTTTCTACTTGTGAACTTTTATAACAATATGAGAAAGCGAAAACTATACAACAACTATATTTAAAATTTATAAATGCAATTTAGGTTTCAAACTTATTTGCATAGTATTCTTTATATTTTGGATGAAAAAAGTACACAGAATTGTTTTTATTCAGCAATCAGTAAAATTCAAGAATTTCGTTATATTGAAAACATAGAAGAAAAAAACATTTTAAATTTTAAATCCATTCACTTCAATTTAGGTAAACAACATGCAAATTAAATCAAGCATATTGTGAAGAAACATATTGAGCATATTGTTAACGCATTCAAGCATATTGAGTCATTTGCTTTATGCGAAAAACAAATAAACAAATAAAACAATTATAAATATTCAAATCGGACGCAACGATATTTGAAAACCATCATTTACAATTTATAATTTAAAGCTACACAGTACTCCATCTGTTTTAGAACGTTGTCATTCTCTAACTTTTTTTATGTGGACGACTTCGATACAGATTCTTCGGAGTGAATCATATAGTATAGCAGATCATATACAAACTATTTGTTTTGTGTCAAAAAAAAAAAAAAANAAAAAAAAAACTAAACATACATCGACAGTATTCGAAATTAATTCTTACAATTAATATTTTAAAACCGCACAGTATTGATTATATTTTAGAACAAAATTATTTACTCTCTACCTTTTTATAGGTGGCAATTTGTAAAAAAAAAAAAATAATAATAGTAATTTTATTAAAAAAATGAATTCGACAAATATATTAAATTATTGAGTCATTTATTTCTATTTGGGTAAATATTTTACCTGTGAATAAAATTTAACATAGTATATACAAACTATTTGCTAGAGGCGAAAGAAAAAAATGTGTAAAAACGATACAATAGCATTAACGACATGATATTTATATGACATGTTTATGTTATAACGATATTCAAACCCTATCATTACAATTTGCACTTTGAAACTACATAACATTCATTCTGTCTCAGAACGAAGTATTCAGTATCAGCTTTTCTAGGTATTAGTAAAAATAAAAATTTAATTCGAGAAAGGAAAAAAAAGAAGAAGAAAAAAAACAGTAAATTGGACGCAAATTTTAAATTTTGGGGTCACTGACCTCTATTTTGATAACTATTCTACGTGAGAATTAAATGAAACATATTATAAAAAAATTATTTGTTTTATGCAAATACAAGTCTGCGTAACAACGACACAATAACGATAACAATATCTGATATCAATCATTAGAATTTATATTTTTTAACTACAAAGCATTTCTTCCTGTTTTAGAATAGAATATTTAGCATTAATCTTTTTCTAGGTGGCGATCTGTAACAATACAAATTTAATTAAAGACAAAACAGTCAATTAGCAAAATTTTTAAATTGTGGTGTCATTAACCTCAATTTTTTTTACTAGTTGATAAATAGTCTACAAGGAATTTAAAAAAAAAAAAAAACTTATTATAACGATATTCAAATTCATTTATTACAATTTATGCTTTAAAAGTAAATAATCTTTCTGCGTATTGGAAAGAAATATTAAATCTCTATATATTTTTAATAATCATTTTACAAAGATAATTAAATTGGATAATTTTCTCAGA